TCCACAGAACCTGTCCCAGCTGTTTTCCACTTGTCCACAGAACCTGTTCTAGCACGACGCTGTAATGTAAGACGTGTTTCTGGCATCTTTTCAGTTGCATCTCCCAACTCGCTACCAAGCAACGACGGTTCTTTGCTCCTTGTAACTCTTCTCTGAAGGGCCAATGTGCCTACAGGGTGAGAGGTAGCCGGTGCAGCGCCTGATTTGTCACAGGCGGAAATAACGTAAGTGCTATTTATGTCTCTGACTGGACCTGCAGGTCTCAGCAGTGGACCATCACTTGCACATTCTGACATCTCCAACTTCAAATTCAGCTTCAGGCTGCTCCCGTGACTGAGGGTGTCCAGTGACAAACTCTTTGGGGAAGAAGGAAGACGGAGCCCGTCGCTGTTATTTCTGCTGTGTGCAGTGTGGACTGACATCGTGGCAGCTCGCTTTTTTCACTAAGGATGTTGCTGAAGAACCCAAGCCCTTCTTTGGATGTTCATTTGATTTCCAGCCTATCAGTTTCCAAAAATATCTGCAACTACAAAAAAAAAAAAATTAGGTTGCACAGACTACAAACAGGCTTTGAGAATATGAGAACTTCTAGTGGGAAAGCAGCTTTCCAGAGGAATATAGTACAATAAGCCTCAATCTCCAGCTCAGACACTGAGCAGCTGCAGACAAATCTCTGCCTCCAAGAGCTTACTATCAGTCAACAAATGATATGTACCGAGTCCCCATTATGTAAATTCTACAGATTTCAAAGTCGAGATCCCCGTTCTTATTGCCTTTGTCTGGAAGGAACACACAGACAATACTTACATCAGGTCAAGTGTGCCAAGTGACTTAAAAGATGTAAAAAGTACAGGTCAGCAAAGGTTTTGTTTAAAGTACTCCCAGCTCTGGGAGTAGGGAGAGAGGCTGAAGGAAATCCCAGCACTGAAGGCAAAGGCTAGAGCAAAACATTTTTACAATATAGTATCTGTTGAGTGTGTGATAAATACAGGACTGCCTCATGGGATCCCAACAAAATTAATTCCAGCCACAGCGACTGAATCTGTCAAAATCCTAAGAAGAATACGTCAGCAAATATGGAAAACAGAACAGTGGTCTACAGAGTAGAAACATTCAATATGCACCCCAATATTCAAGAAAGGAGATGCCCAGGCATGCAGTAACCATAGGAACAAGGCTCCAACTTCCCACACAAGTAAAGTGATGCGAGAGGTGAAGCAACACAGGCTGCTGCCTTCTATGGACCAAGAAATGCCAGATGTGAAGCTGGCACAGGAAAGAAAGAGGCGCTCGGGATCTGACTGCCCATACTCACTGGATGCCGGAGTGTGCCACAGGGTTTCAGGTTAGTCTGTTTCAGGGACTACAGTCAAGTCTGACTGTGTGAATCATGAAACGCTGTGGGCTGCCTGAAAGAGATGGGGGTGCCTGGGTACGTGATCAATATGACACGTAACCTGTACTGTGGACAGGAAGCCACTGTCAGGATAGAATATGGAGAGGCAGCATAGTTTCCTATAGGCAAAGGTGCCAGACAAGGTACGTTTTTATATCCCTATTTGTTCAATCTGTACGTAGAACACAGCATACAAAAAAACGGGGCTAGTCTCAGAGGACGGAGGAGCGAAACCTGGTGGAAGAAATAGCAATAACTTAAGATGCGCATCTTACTGGAGAAAGTAGCAATGATGTGAAATGGCTTCTGATGAAAGTGAAAGACAAAAGTGCCAAAGCAGGCTGCATCTGAACATCAAGAAGACAAAAAATCATGAGTACAGGAGAAATACACAACTTTAACACATACAAGACATTGGAATTGTTAAAACATTTGCTTGCTTTGGCTGAGTGATCAGTTGAAATGGAGCCGGCAGCCAAGAAGCCAAGAGAAGGCTGAGACTCAGAAGGGCAGTGACGGAAGATCTAGGAAAAGTCACCAAGAGCAAGATGTGTCATGAGGGACCAAGGCTGAGACCATCACACCCTCGTGATCCCTCGTACTACGTCCGGATGCGAAGGTTGGACAGGGAAGAGGCGGATGGGAAAGAAATTGGTCCATTTGCAACATGGTGTTGGGGAGAGCTCTGCGGAGACCCTGGGCTGCCAGGAAGACGAACAAGTGGGTCCTGGAGCAAATTAAGTCTGAACATCGTGGAAGCAAAATGCCAAAGCTGCAGCTGTGCTACTTCAGGACATCAGGAGAGGGCAGGGTTCTCTGGAAAAGACGAGAGTGCTGGGAAAACAGGAGGCAGCAGGAAAAGAGGAGACCAACTAGGAGATGGACGGACTCCATCAAAGAGGCCACAGGCTGAGTCTGCAAGAGCTGAGCAGGGCTGTGAGGACAGGACACTGGGGACATCACTCATTCATGGGGTCTCCCAGAGTTGCAGCCAACTCAACAGCAAGTAACACACACAGAAGAGTCCTTGGCCTTGACACATGCAAAACCTCATGGAAGCTTCCAGGGTGTTCCTTGGCACCATGGCACAGCTACCCGCCAAAACCCTGGTATTACGCTCCCAGGACTAAGGGCTTTCCCCAAAGGCCCTGTGCGCATCACGCTAGTGGAAGCAGACCCCAATCTTGCGTGTAATAAACCTTTATTTTTTTCATCGTTTCCTGATGACTGTTGCTGAAGGGCTTCTTGCAATCAAAATAAGAACCACGTGGGCTGGTCCAGCCACAACACAGGCCATTAGCAGGCTGAGACCAATACACAAACAGCAGGTGTGTATCCAAATATATGTCAACAGTATCCATCCCGCACTAAAGCTTAAAAGAAAGAGAGACCAGTGACAGCCACCGGCCTGGCCTCTGGCCTGCTGTGCATCAGGCTGGTCACGTGGATGTAAACAGTTTTTAAGTTTGCAAGCCTGTTTCTCATTGGCAAAATGACACTTGTTCAAACTATTCCACAGAGTATCGCTGTCGAGAAACAAAATAACGAAAGTTAATTTATAAGTAAGTCTTCTAACGTTCTAAGTAAATAACAATCCTGGATACAAGCATCTCCCGTCAAACCTTTCAACGAAAAGGACAGAATCTTCCTACTACGGAAATGAGTTTAAAGGCAGGAAATTCCACCGCCGCTAAAAACTTGTCGCTCCTCACACGAACAAGCGGCTCCCTCCGACTGGAGTGAAACAAGGGAAGTCAGTCGCCGCCCACCGCAGCATCCCCGCGACACTGCTCTCGGCTGGTCACTGCCGGGCGGGACAGCGAATGGACCTCCTCCAGCCCCCGGCCCGGCGAGCCTCGGGGCCCTGAGGTCCGGCCGCCGGGTCCCCGCACAGCCGCTGCCGGCGCCCGCCCTCCCCCGGGACCCCGTCGCCGCGACGCGGACTCCGGAGCTCGCGGAGGCCCCGAGCTAAGCCCACCGCCCGCACGTCCCCCGCAGCCCCGATACCTCGGCCCTCCGCAGGCTCCCCTCCGCGGAGACCCCGTGAGACGCAGCCCGCACCACTCACCGCCGGCTCCCAGGTGCCCACAATTTGAATGGGCGCCCCGCCTTCTGATTGGCTGCTGGACGTCGCGTCGGGCGCCGCCTTCTGATTGGCTGTTGGACGCCGCGTCGGGCGCCGCGCCTGCGTTTCCTCTCGGCCCCCCGGAAGCGCCGGTGGTTGGGACGCTGAGACTCTAAGGATGAGACCCGACCGGCCCTTGGCGGGGTTCTGGGCCGGGCGGGGGACCTGCTGACGTGGGTTTTAAGTGAGAAGAGGGACCATGACACTCCCGTCGGTCCTCAGGATAAAAGAAACAGGGCCTGTCCGCCATCGCACTGTAAAAATGGCCGTTTGCCCCCAGGTTAGTCATAAGCAGCCCTTTTCTATATTTCCGAGGCAAAGCGTGGAGATAGGAAGTGGACTGGATGCCTTCCATGGGTGTTTTCCACTGAATCCGGAAAACCCCAAACTGGAAAAACTCTCCATGCCCAGCCGTGAGAGAATGCTTTACAATGAGGGGGAAATACATTCTACAACTGTTAAGTTATAAAAAGTTATAATTAGGAATTAAGTAGGACCAGACAACGCATGGCCTAGAGACTAAACCATACTCGGCGCCTCCAAAATTGTGAGCCCAAGGAGGAGCAGGACCCGTCTGCCTCCTCCCTGTGCGCCCCAGGCCCTGGCACAGGAATGTCACAGGAACGCCCGCCAGCCACACTCCCCACTCCTTCTGCCTGTCAGAAGCTCCCAATTTAACTCCAGCCGCAGGAATAACACCCCACAGAAGCAAGGGCCACCCATGAGCCACGTCCAGGTCACACTGGAGGGACGGTGATCTTTTACTTATTACACTGAGATGATGCGCTTCTCTCTCTCCAAATCCTGCCCACAGCCGACCGGCAGAGAAAACCACTTCACCTGTGGTGCCTCATGTTCCTCACCTGGACACCGTGGATGACAGTGTCGCCTAGCCTGCAGAGTTGTAGTGACGATGAAATGAGATGGTGTATGCAAAGTGCTCCGCATAGAGCAGCGGTTCTCAACCTTCCTAATGCCGCAACCCCTTTATACAGTTCCTCATGTTGTGGGGACCCCCAACCATAAAATTATTTTCGTTGCTACTCTATAACTGTAATTTTGCTACTGTTATGAATCGTAATGTAAATATCTTTTTGTTTTTTGATGAT